ACGAATGTGGAAATTTTTATGAATTATTTCTAGAGGTTTATTCACAAAATATTGACACAAAGTTGGACTGTTTAACATACCTTGAGGTAGTACCTTCCACTGGAATCTCTGTACCGGACGGGAATTATTATAGGTAGGTACCGTGAAGGCGAACTTTTCTCTGTCGTTTTCTTGTAACGGTATGGTGAAGAAACAATCTTTTAAGTCTATAACTATAATTGACCAATCCTTAGGAATTAGAGAAGGTAACGGCATCCCAGGTTGTAGAGACCCCATAGGCTGAATTACCTTGTTGATGGCTCTAAGATCAGTAACCATTCTCCACTTACAACTTGCTAACTCAGAAATTTTACAAGGCTTGAATGAGGTAATGCGCGTATAATGTCAGATACAAAATGAAACTATGATACATTTTACTGTCAAGTATTTCCTGTAGAAATGCCCCTCCCTCAAGCCTGCCTCCCCACATCTGTACACCCTTGGCATTTGCATGGACTTCTGCAGCATGCTGAACACCCCTCAGTCACAGAGCTTCTCTGTGTTGTGGCTTTCTCTTTTCTTATCATTACCTTTACATCATGGCTTTCTAAACATGATCAGAGAAGCACAGATTCAACATTCCTTGGGAACTCACTAGAAATGAAAATTCCTGGGTCTAACTTCAGAACTACTGATTCTATAATTCAGACTGTAACTCCCAAATCTTCATTTTAACAGATCATTGAGGAAAGTCCATGTATGTACATTTAAGAAGAGTTTCTGGGCTGGGTCTTTTTGGCATAGGGTATGTCTAATTCATCTCACACAGCTACCCATACTCAGTGGCTATTTGTCAAATGTGTAAGGGGTTTAAGTGAATCCTAATAACAGTGTGGGGCCATAGACTGATGTCAAGCAGGGGAAGGTCATGGTCTGACTGTCTGTTAGGTTAGCTCTTGGAGACTGTCTACAGCAGAGATTAAATGAAGTTACTGGAAGCAAATAAATCTCCTAATAAAAGTTTACTATTTGGATTCATAATTTATAGAAATGGTAATTACTTACAAAAGGATACCTTATTATGAAAACTTACATATTCACAGTAAAATGTATTCTTTTAATATCATGTTTATATGCAATGTTTTATAAGTCTTTGGGGAAAGCATGTGTTTTAAAATTTATAAACAAATATGTTTTCTCACAAAACATGATTTAACTTCTAAAAGCCAGTTCTAAAATGTTATATGAATTTAGCACTTGTCAATTTTCTCTGCACATAGTCTGATGGATTATGAAAGCAAAATTGCATAGCAAGTTGGTTACATTACAAAATTAAAATAAATTGAAACCTCATTGTTAACATAGAAATAAAAATAGATTCATGTTGTTTGAAAATATACTAGCATAGAGTATATATTATTCATTTCATTTTGTATTAAAATGAAATAAAGCAATCACCTAGAAATATTTCAAATAGAGGCCATATAGCTAACTTAGAGTATAATGAGTACAGCAAAACCAAAGTCACATGACTCAAGAGAATTATGGGCCAAAGAAACCCAAAATTGCAATGTGTCACACATCCCTTTCCCTTCTGCTGACACTCATCTCAAAAGTTGGGAACTAATTAAGGCAGCTTTCATGAGGACACAGTCAAAAGTTTCACATTATCTTGGTCACAATCCATCTCTAGGAAACCAACACTTCTAACTGCTTTTGAGTTGAGTCTTACACTTAAGTGACCCTGGTAATTGTCCATCCAAATGTCTTCTTCCTCAATAATAAAAAAATTAGGAGATGCCATGAAAGGTTTATGATATTGTAACTTTACTCCTGGAAATAGGCTCTTAACTACCCAACAAAACTGGCTCTTGGAAGGCTGTCTAGAAGAATGAAACTAGATTCCTTTCTCTTACCCTGTACAAAAGTCAGCTATAAATACCATCATGTAGGACTTGAAACGAACAGAGAAAAACAGAAACAAGCCATTCAAGATACATGATTAGGGTGGGGCTGGACCAACAGCCTCCAAAACAATACAGAGAAACCCTGTTTCATAAAAACCAAAAAAAAAAGATACATGATTAGGCATATTCTGCATAAGACCCCCGTAGCTCAAGAAATACTAGGACTAATTGGCAAAGTAATTGCACCACAGCACATGCAAAACAAGAATAAAGACACTGACTGCAGAATGTGACAACATGATCACAAATTATTTATCTGATGTAATTAATATCGGTACTATCTAAAGAACTCAAAAATTGAAAAGTCAAAAGACCAAAGCTATTTAATCAATAAATAAATGAATACTTTCTGAAGAAGTACAAATGACCCAAGATATATGAAAAAGTGTTCAATAACACTAGCCATCGGAGAAACGCAAACCAAAACTATGTTCAGCTTTACCTCACCAAGATCAGAATGGCTATAACAAAAGGAAATAAAATCCATGGAAGTAAGAGCATCAAATGTGGGCAAGTATGTGGGAAAAAAATCTTTATACATTTCAGGAATGTAAGTTAGTACAGCTACTATAGAAATTAGCTTACAAAGTCTTCAAAATGTAAAAATAAAAAATGATGTATGATTCAGCTATGCCTTTCTCATATACAAAGAAACCAAATTCATCTCACAGGGTGGATAGCTGTGTGCATCTTTGTGGTAGTACCACTCATGACAGTCATGGTTTGGAATTAGCCTATTTGCCCATCAATGCATGACTGGATAGAGAAATGTGGTACATAGATACAATGAGATACAAATCCACTTAAAGAATAAAGAGTGTACCTCTTTTTCAGGGAAGTTGAGTTCTTCTTAATAAGTGAAATAAGCTGAACTCAGAAATACATATATTCCATGTAACCTCTCATATATTTAATCTGAAGAAGATGAATGGGGAGAGAGATATAAGGAAAAAGGAGGAGGAAGAACACTGTTAGTGAATAAGAAGGGAATTGTGGAGAAGAGGGCTAATCAAGAGGAATGTCAGCAATGTGATCAAAGCTAGTTGTGTTTGTATGTGACAATATCAGCGTGAAATGTGTTATTTTGTGCAAATAACATGTGCAAAGGTGTGCAAGAAGCTGGGGGGGTAGCTGAGCTGATAAAGTGTGTGTTGCCCATGCATGAGGGTCTGAGTTCAGATCCAACTCGTGTAAAAAGCCAAGCATGGGGAAGTGCCTCCATAGGTCCAGCAGAAGACCAGAGATCAGTTGATCCCCAGAGCTGAGATAGCTAATCAATGGATTCAGTAGGAGGCTCTCACTCAGAAAACAATGTGGAGAGTGGCAGAAAAAGACACCTCACAGTGATTCTGGCCTCCATGTGCGCACGCATACGCATGCACACACAGACATGTACACGTATGTACAACACACACATATACTTGTGCAAAATGTGGCCCTCTTTTGGAGAGAAAATAAAGGAAACTAAGTGTTGGAGTAAGAGACTCAGAGTCAATAGGGAGGAGAGGGTAGGGCGTAAGAGATACGAAAGGACAGGGTGGGAGCGAGAATGGAAGGTAGAAGGGAGAATTCTGGTGGGCAGGTGTAGGGGAAACGAAGGCCGAGATTAGGAGGGGTTGAGAAGAATGGGGTGGGTCTGAGAGGCATAAGTCCGAAAGGTCCCAGAACTTCAGAGTCTGTATGTCATATGTCCTCTTAGACAAGGTTACTCATTCATTTTTAGATAATTGAAAGAGATATACCGTCGGTAATTCTGTTAAGTCTGTCTTGTATGTCAACGTCACATGCGGTAAGTAACACTGAGGACTTCCCTTGTTTCTAGTGGAGAGTGCCTTCTTCACCCAGCCCATTAGACTGGATGAATCCAGTGAATCTATTATCCAGGGAAAATTGATTCCGAAAGTATTGTGTGTTGGCTGAGCAAAAAATGATTTTAAGCAAATTCAAAAGCAGGGTGAATAAATAGAAAATTTCCCATGTGAAATGCTGACATTTTTAAGAATGTATTTTTAAAGATAGATGATGAGTTCAGGAGTTTTTTATTGTTTCTTGAATTTTTAAGTGTTTCTTCACATGAAATACCCATTTATATGCTTTGCTCATTTTTCTATTCGTTTGTTTGCCTTTTCTATTTGTAGGAATTTATAGTGTAGATATCAAGCCATTTCCTGTGATATATATGTTTCAAATATTTTCTCCCAATCTCTTCCTTGGCATTTAAGCCTTTAATCCATTTTGAAATTTATTATGGTGTTTGGTACAAGACTGGAATCTAATGGGATTCTTTTTCTAGCTGGAAGCCAGACAATTTCACATCTTTTATTGAATAATCCATTGGTCTCCATTAATCTGTATTGCTTTTTGGTGAGGCTCACATGTGGACAGGTCCATTTCAAGATCATCTACTGTGTTTTAATCAATTGTCCTCAAATTTCTTGCAAATGGGTTTAGTCATTAATTTTGTTATTATATGTGTGCAGGAAGGGTTGTTATTTTAAAATGACCTCTTATTATTTTTAGTATTTTAAGTCAAGTTAGGATATAAATATTTGTGTGAGAGTCTACATTGATTGTCAGCTTGAGAGAATCTAGAATTACCCTTGTAAGCAAATCTATGAGTATGCCTATGAAGGATGTGTAGACTGTGTTGATTAAGGTTGCATAACCCCCCTAAGATGCAGGCAGTACAGGTCTATGGGCTGGGGTGTTTGACTGTACCTAAAGAAGGAATCATCTGCGTGCTAGTGTTCATTCTATCCCCTTCCTGAGTACAGACACAGTATGATCAGCTTGCTTCAGGCTCCTGCCACCATGCCTTCTGTGCCCTGATGTATTATTGTACCATCAAACTGTGAACCCAAATAAACCTTTCTTTCCTCAAGCTGCTTTTTGTGTCAAGTATTGTCACAGCTACAAGAAGAGTGACTAACACAGTTGGCACGTAAGAAGTTTGCCTGGGAGAATGCAGGGTAAGTGGTATGGATCTATGGACTGCATTGATCCTTGGTGTCATGGTGTGACGCCACAGCTCTTTCTGTTTGCCATACTGTCACCATGTACTTTGAGTCCCTTTCAGCCACAAGTCTCCAAGTAAGATGTAGCTTACTAATGCCACACATTAATTATTTTTCTTTTCTTTGTGAAGCAAGTTACTGTTCCCAAAAGCTCAGACCTTTAGATCTCTCTGCCTGGTTCTATACAGGTCGTGCTGCTGAACCTTCTGGTGTGTGTCATCTTATTCTACACTGTTTACTGCCTGTCACTGAGCATGTGCTGCCTGACTTTCAAGTAAATGGTATATTGTCTTCGAATGGGATTTTAAAAGTGGACATGAAATAAAAGGAGCTTATACTTGATATGGCTTGAAGGATTATCACTTGTAGATTCCCAGTGGCACCTAAATTTTTGTTTTGCAAGTAAATATAAACTAACATTCTACTTTTAAGCATGAACAAAGTCACTACCATGACAAAAGCTAGAACCGGGCAGAATTATTCATACTTCAGGAAAAGAGAAACCATGCTCTTAGGGCTGGTGTTGAATCAGAGCGTTTGTACTAGACAACACTTGAGAGACAGCCCACATTCATTTAAGAGTTTTCTAAAAAATGCTGGACTTAAGATTGGATTGTAACCGACTTTTGTAATGGAAAGAATGTTACTCAGCATGCTTGCTGACAAACCCACAGAGGAATGTCTGGTGCATACACACAATCTCAACTGTGGCCTTGGGCTAGAGATAGTAAGAACTGTGGCTACTCTTCATGACTCTCTGAGCACAGGAGTTCAAGATTTTGAGTTAACATGAGTCAATGTTGAGGAATTTTTGTTTCTTTGTTTCTGTGGGTAGAAGCTTGAAACAGAATGTCTCTGTAGTCCAGGCTGGCTCCAAACTTCCCCATGCCTCTGCCTGCACCTCCCTATTCCTGGGATTACAAATCACTGGCCATGATGGCACATGCCTTTAATCCCCGCATTTGGAAGACAGAAGTAGGTGGATCTTCTTGAAGTCATCCTGGTCTACAAAGAGAGTTCCAGGAAAGTCAGAGCTGTTACACAGAGAAACCCTGTTTCGATAAAAACAAACAAATAATAGCTTTTGTTGTTGTTGTTGCTTTAAATGAAATAAAACTCAAATTATATGCAGAATTAGTGTTATGTTAGGCTAATTGTTGGTTATTGTTTGTTTTGAGACAGACTCAGGCCACATAGATCAGAATAGCTCCAATACTCAGTCCTCCAGCCTTAACTTTTCAAGAACTGAGCTTTTGGGTGACGGCTACCATTCCCAACAGGGGTGAAGAATTTGAGGTAACTGGATCTTAAAGCTGTTGACTAGCTGTCTGTGATTTCAATCCTCACAGCAATCTCTAGTCCAGGGGTATAATTTATAGACTCAGTTTAAGAATAGGAAGGGATCTCACAGATTAATTTCTTTATGGTTAAGAACTGAAGCCCGGGGCTGGAGAGATGGCTCCGAGGTTAAGAGCACTGGCTGCTCTTCCAGAGGTCCTGAGTTTTAAAGTTCCAGCACCCACATGGTGGCTCACAACCATCTACAATGAGATCTGGTGCCCTCTCCTGGTATGCAGGCAGGAAAAATGTATACATAATAAATAAATAAATAAATAATAAATAAAAATTTTAAGAAAGAACTGAAGCCCAGAGATGTTAAATAATTTGCCCAAGTTCACAGTTATCACACAGGCTTAGATTTGTGTCTTTTGGCTTCCAAGACCCTGTTCTCTCCATATTAAAATTTCTCCTCACACACTAGGCAGAACTACCAAGTTTACAGCTGAAACCTCAAATATAATTAAGATTGCTTAATGATCAAAGTAGATTTAAATATCATCATCATCATTATTAATAGGTGTATGTGCTTGAATGAGTTTATGTGTACCACATTTGTGTAGGAGCCTACCGAGGCCAAAGGGAAGTCTCTGGCATGGAAGGTAAGAAGATTACAAGCTGCCAGGTGAATGGTAGGGACTGAGCCTAGGTCCTCTGCAAGAGCAATAAAGCAATCTTAACTCTAGGCAATCTCTCCAGTCCTGACAAAGCAGATTTAGTTGAGCAGAGACAGCAATATGGATAAGATGTTCATTGGTGGTCATCCTGCCAGGCATTTTTAAACTGCTCAAAAAGGTGAATCAAACGACCTGTCCTCATATGTGAAGGGTAGGTTACAAAGCTTCAATGTTTGGCTCCGAATGGTCTCTGTCAGAGCAAACTTTTCATTTGTAAACTCTCAGGGTGTGGGAACTGGATGTCCTGGCACCATTTGACTTCAAAACACACCCTTCATGGCTCAACACAAATTATAAAGGTAACTGATCTTTGTTTTTTGTTTTTATTTTTGATCTTCATCAATAAGTGGATGAAATGGAAGCAAAAATAAATATTTTGTTAAGCAGAAAGTGGGAAAACATTATGCTTTTCTTTTGATTTTCCGTATATTACATCTGACTTCTTTAGGAAAAGTCTCATCAAAACATTTAAGGTGGAGCCATCGAGGTGACTCAGTGAAGTCGGGAAACCCAGGCGGAAGCATGGACCCCATGTGATAAAGAGAGATGACCAACTCCAGCAAGTTGTTGTCTGACCCTCACATGCATGCAACACACAATAAATAACACAAAGACATTTAGGTGAATGTTCTTAGGGTGTGAATAAGAATGGCGTAAGTACAGAGCAGTGGTGGTGCATGCCTTTAATTAAAGCACTTGGGAGGCAGAGGTAGGGGGATCTCTGTGAGTTCCAGGCCAGCCTGGGCTCCAAAGCTACACAAAGAAACCCTGTCTCATTAAACCAAAAAAAAAAAAAAAAAGAAAGAAAGAAAGAAAGGCATAAATGCAGGCAGGGAGTTAGAATTCTCACATTCTTATGTAAATTTTATTTCATTTTATTATTGGTGAACACACACAATACATCATACATATATACATGCACATATATATGTAGCATTGTGGCATTTCCATGCACGCCTCTCACTATACTTTTATTCATTTACCTCTCCCAACTGTCCTCCCTCATCTCCTCCTGCCTCCCATTAGCTGGTGTGCTTCTCCTTAATGTATTCTGCTTTCATGCTGTATGTATCCTATTTCAGGAAATATATTTGAAAGAAAGGGAAGAGAAATGACAACGTCCTGATAGATAAAGTCTTTATGAGATATGAAACAGAATGGAGAGGAGTTTGTATGGTGTCGTTTCATTTTTGAGGGCTAGACACCAGTATCCGTGGGAAAAACACCTAGAGAATTCTGCAGCGAGCCGTGCTCACCCAGCGATGGTGACAGAACCTTCATTTGCTGCTTTGCACATTCTGCTTTGTTTTATTTTTCTTCTCCAAACAATGCCGACTTTGTAGCAAAGGAAATATTCTATTGCACAGACGGGTGACTGGGGTGAGGGGGAAATTAATTGGGTATTTTAAAACAGCTGGAGGAGAGAACTGGGATGCTCCTAACACAAAGAAATAATAATATGTGTCTGAGATGAGATTTACCAGGTAGCCTGAACTATCCGTTACACATCACATACGTGAATCAAAATGCTACTCTGTACTCCATAAATACTCACGATTATCATGCACCAATTAAAAAGTAAAAAAAATCCACTTTACTTCAGAGGAAACATTAAGAAAGAATATACTTAGACAAAACTTACCCTTTTTAAATTTGGTATGTTTGCACAAGAAATACTCTGTACCTCATGATTTTGCAAGTCTGGTGTGTTAGTAGGTGAACCCTTTGTTCTGATCATACACAAAGCACATTTGCTTTGGGGCATTCATGAAGATTTTGCTTCATTTTTAGAAAACTCAAGTTTAACATTTTTCTTTGTAAAATAAAACATACAATTCAGGAGAGTTTAGAACACCTGGATATAGAAAAGAGAAAATGGAAATAAGTTATAAATGCATTTTCTCATTGCAGTTATTCATAATACTATGTTAAATTTCATCCTACATTTTAAAAATGTTTTCTTGATTCTTTAAACATTAAAATTCACTAGGAAACTGCAGAATGATCTTTTCTGGGGAAAACTATGGAAATGCACAAACTTGCCTGAAGCTAGAAAAAAAACAGATTTCAAGTAAATATGATTTGTATAGGAAACTTGGTCAGCTAGAATTACTGAATTCTAATAAAAAGTTTAGAATGCCTTCTTCCAATGGATAACCTTGTTTGGGGGCCATTATTGATTCAATTTTCAGTAGCAAAGAATCTGTCAGAACAAGAGATGTTTATTGTAACAAGGTAGAAGATGTCAAGCATGCTATTAACTTTCTCTTCATGCACTTCCCTATTGAATTGAGTTTTTCTACCGAGACTCTGCAAAAATGATAAAGAGCTAGTTACAGAAAACCAAAAACCAAAAAAGAGTCAAGTATGGACCATACATATGTTTGGAGTAGGGAAAAGACTTAAAACCCATCTGTTCCTATTTATTCTTGCCTTTGGGACGGACAGTGAAGATGGGATGCCACAGACTCAGTGGAGGAGATTGTTTACAGACAGGAGAGGTCAGTAAAGGTCCTGGGGTGTCTAACTCAGGTTGCATTATTAGTTTCTGTTAGGAAACATGAATATTTGTCCAAACTTACCAGAGTTCTTAACCTATTAAATCTTTAATGTGGGGACTTTGCAGGATAAAGGTTAGCCCTCTTTAGCTGTGTTGCTTGGAGAATCTAGGCTTGTCTGATTAGGAGATAGGTTTATTGGCAATCTCAAAGCTTTCGCCTTGGAGTTAGGGTCAAGGTTCTGGTCTGTTTCAACAAATCTGCTACTCAGAAGCTCAGATTTAATAATGGCATTGGGAAATGTGCATCCAGTGAGACTATTTGATTACTAATATCTTTCTGTTGTATTGCACAGGTTAGTCTAGATAAAAACGGTATACTATTTCCAACCCTGCTCGATGTCCATGAACTCTTCATCTGTAAAGGTGATACTGAGTTGCCGGTACCCTGACCCCAGGTTTTGTACTTTTAATTGTGTTTGCTTTCAAGTTATAAGCAAAGCTTGAGTGTTCTTTAACAATACATGCAAATAAGTACATCTTGTGCAAGACAAAACTGGCCTTCTCCAAGCAGCTTTAGGTTAATTTATAAAATCAAATGTTGACAATAGAAATATCTCTAGAACACAGAATGTAGTGGCACATACCTTTAATCTCAGAACTCGGGAGTCAGAGGCAGATGGATTTCTGTAAGTTTTTTGGGGGGGGAGGGCATGGCAAGGATGTCTGTAAATTTGAGGCTGCTGTGGACTACATAGCAAATTCCAGGCCAGCCAAAGCTACATAGTCAGACCCTGTCTAAAAAAAAAAAAAAAAAAAAAAAAAGCCGAGGAAGTGGGAGGGATGTGTACTAGGTAACTTCAAGAAGATGTAGCACAATACTCCTTCCTCGGTTTTAGTGTACAGGACAGGCTGACCTGATGGACAGGCTGACCTGATTTACAATAGTCAAAGGGATTCCCATGCCACAGGAAAAAAAGGCTGATGTGAATTCTCCATTTCTCCATTCACTTTCCAAAACCTATTGAGTTAAATGAAATAAGACTGAAGAGGAACATGAAGGATAACTTCAGAAGACATCATCTGGAACTTGCTTGCTAGATGTCTTTCGCATTATCTCCTGCACTTGTTGGTTTGATTACCTCCACATGGTAGGAAATAGGGTGATTATTTTACTTTCTGCTCTGCAAAGTATCACATTTGCCTGCCTACATTTATTGATTCCGGGATTATATGAACACACCAATCATCTGATAGGTTTTAAAGTGAGGGAAAGGGAATTTTTATGGGACTGGTATTATTTACAAAGGGACTTTGGTGGTATATCAATTACATTTGTTAAAGTTGGATGGGTCTTGCCCTTGAAACTATTATCATCTTTAAAAGTCACCAAAAAGGCAAAAGACAGAAGGCAAAAAGCCATCTGTCTCTTCACATGTCCCAGGCACCAAAAATTGTGGTTCTGACCTGTAAATAGCTCTCTTTTTATGCTCATTGAGGAAAACTCCTATGCGGATTTAGAAGTGCTTCCAACCTATCATTGATGAGGCTTTATTTCACCTATGGTGATAAATATTGCTTCTCAGATGGCTACCTGAACATACCAAATGATTCCACAAGCACAAAGGAACTTATTTCCAAGTTAAGCGCTGTGTCTACCAAAAGAAAAAAGAAAATCACCACTGAATAAACCCATTCATCTTTTATTTCTAAAAACTCAGATCTGAATTCTTTCATTAACTTCATTAATATCTATTATCTCTTAAAATTAGATTCACATGCATGCATGGACTGTGTTGTAAAAACTGCAAAAAATTCTATTTTGTTATTTTTTTAATGTAAGGATAATGAAGATATAAAATGTCAGAGGTTCTTATCATATTTGAAGTTGGATGAAAGAACATTTGTAAACTTTCTATCAAAAATTCTTTGTACATATGTGCATGTATTAGGAGTGACCACTAGATCTTGGATAACCTATCAGGCAGCTCCCCCTGGGGAAGACTGATTCTTCCTCTCTCTCTCAGGAGGCACTAATTGCCTGTAGCTCCCCATACATGGTGGCTTGTCAACTGATCAACTGATCATGCCCTTCCTCAGGTCTTGTTTAGGTGACCATATAAATCACAGACGATGAACTCTGCAGGTTATATTTATTTGTATATACGCATGCATACATGTGCATATATATGTAACAATAGCAATTAAAGAAGAAGAGGTCATGCATTTTGGGGGATGGGGAGACAAGGTAGGAGGCATGAGAGGGAAGAGCGAAAATGGTATAAATATGGTATGCAAGTCTAAAATTTGCAAAATAAAAAATGCATTTAAAATAATTCCTTGCAGATCAAGGTATCATGACCTTGTGTTAGTTGCATTTCAACATTGTTAAATGCTCTAAACACAAATGTCACATTCTTCTGCTTGCAGCTCTTTCAGTCTCAACAGAAGTCACCTACTTTGTTTGTGGATTGCTTTTTGCTCTGATTGTAGAAGAATGGGTTTGGGATTATGCGATTTCCATGACGATTCTTCATGTAATCATCACATCAGCTGGTAAGCAAGATAAAACAGTGGACACTAGGAAAGTGCATTACATCTAATGTATCAAAAACTACTCTTAAGAGCTCAACTCACGTTGCACTCAGGGAATGGTTCTGACCATGTCTTCCAATCCAGGGCTGTACTGACATGCAAATCTTCCTCTTCACAGTCAACTACCGTGGGCTTTGAATCCCTAAGAAATGTTTTCTTTCCAAAACCTTTCCCTGATCCCAAAGATAGGGAAATGTAGAAAATCTAATGTTTTTACGAGCCAATGGTTAGTTTTTAATGGTTCCAGTTCTGGGTCTACAAGATGACTGACTCAGCAGGTAAAGTTGTTTGCCACCAAGTCTGAAGTCTTGAGTTCAATTCCTGTGACCCACATGATGGAAATGAGAGAATTAACTCTGGCAAGTCATTTTTGGACCTCCACATGTGTGCTATGGCATGCTCCTAGGTGCCCTTAAAATGTGTATGTACGCATGCATACACACACATACATATGGGGGGATAAACATTAAAAAGGAATATCATTTATAAAATGATTTTTTTTACTGGTGATCTTGGGAGTCAAAATTAAAATGCACTCATTTTGCAGTTCTACCTTTTACTGAGAGGGTAGTCATGAACTAGTCATATCTCTCGCAGAGATTTCCTTCACTGCAACGGTGAGGAGACGTGGTAAACTTTCAATGAGATACTGAGAAACTGAGTAGCAGTTAGCACATGACAGTTACTCAGGGAATGATAGATAGTTCCAGCCATTCATTTGTCTATCTATTCACCATTCTAGTCTCGTCTCCTTTTCTACCCTCCATTATTATTATTATTATTTAATTTTATAAAAGAATACTCGCCAAAGTGTGGATCATTTTCAAGCATGGTCTATCTCAATGTTACTGTTGCTTATCACCAAGTTAAACCAGTCTTGTATCTCTAGTGCTCTGATATATGGATAGAATGAGTTGCCACCAGCTGAATAGCACACATGTCCAAACGAGTTGCTACTTGCCAGATTCACTGCCATTAGTAAGTCCCAGTCAATTTATCTTCTAGCTTTAGTATCATCAGTCACAAGCTCTCCAGCTCTCCATCAGCTTCTCAGAGAATCACTGGACAGCCCCCCTCCCACAGCCCTCTCAGATTCTCCATTGTGCCCTAGGGATCTAACTTTTCTGTAAGATAGTCACAAGATAGTTATTTTGTTAAAGGAAACATGTGGGAACATCATATGGTTCGACCCATAAGTTTAAGATGAGTTATTAACTCTGGAACCAGAAAAAAAATGCTATCATGCTGTCTGACACATGCCACGTAGAATCTGTTTTAACAAATGCTTAATGGAATGCATCTAGATCAAAGCCAGCAATGTGGTGGTACACAACTGTAATCCCAGCACTTAGGAGGCAAAGATAGGATGATCATGAGTTCTAGGCCAGTCTGGGCTATGAAACAAGACTCTCAAAATAATCAAAACAAAAGAGAAGTGCCTCAAACATCCCTAGGATGCAAGGTACCAGTCACTTACGACAGTCTTGGAATCATCACCACTGCTCATTCCTACAGAATGATCTCCAGGTGTCCTCACTTCAAGGGTACTCTTCCTATGGGAGGTGTGCACGTATTCACCTTGGTAAATAAATGACCTTTTACAGCAGTGGTTCTCAACTTGCCTAATGCTGTGACCCTTCAATACATTTCCTCTTGTGGTGACTTCCAACCATAAAAATATTTTTGTTGCTACTTCACAACTGTAATTTTGCTAATGTTGTGAATCATAATGTAAATATATGTGTTTTCATATGACCCCTGTGATAGGATTAGTTTGACCCCCAAAGATGTCTTGACCCACAGGTTGAGAACTATTTCTCTACAGCATAACAAATTTGGGTTGCCTGGTTTTAGATAAAAAATGTTGTTTTATGGATATATTTGATCAAACATAATAGTTCTTGATAAGTTAATAGAAATGCATGCTTTTGTAAATGAAATACAGCATTAGGTTTTTCCTTTTTCTATTGCAGTTATGTTGGAGTTCCCTTTGACTTCACATTGGTGGGCTGCTTTAGGTACAGGAATGGCTCAAGTTTAGATCCTCTAATGCGCAGAAACAATGTTAAGTAGAATAAATGCTGGGAATAGACTTCACCTTGGGCATAAATTTTATTACATTTTTTCAAGTTAATAATGATGATGTCTAAATAATAAAAACAATACAGTATTGTTAAGGATAGAATCTACTGGTTATCTTTTCTGGCTCATACCTACTCCCAGAACAGGACAGCCCACATATAATCTACACCATATATGCTGCATTGTTAGCATATGTTTGAGTCTAAAAATAGATCACACACACACACACCTATACTCTGCTTCTCTTTTTGATATAATTCGAACCTATGAAGGAATTCTGTAAATTTCCCTTTATGTACTAAACAACATAAGAGTGATGTAAGAAGTGGAAGTGAATCGGCCTAGAGCAGAATTCATTCCTAGCGATCCTGACGACCTACATGAAGTACAGCTGGTCTAGATAGGGTGGCATCAGGCCAGGCAGCATGAGCATTGCTGGCCCACAGAAGTTCAAATCCAGAACATTCCGAGCCTTTTTAAATTAATTACGCAACACCTAACTTAAAACCAAAGCTGCCCACATTTAGTCCTCCTTAGTTCTAAACAAATGAATCTGAAATCTGAGTGTCTTGGAGTCGGATCCCCTAGAAATCTTAAGTAGGAAAACCAAGTTAAGCAGCAAATGTGCAGGAAATGAGACAGTTGGTGTCAGTTTTCTTTCTTAATTATATTATGGAATGATCAGAAAGTCAGGAAGGAGAAGTGGTGTCGCAGCTCCACCATTTGTTTATATTAATAAGCGACCACATAAAGCGAAGCCAGGCATCACTAAACAGATTTCAGTGTTTGTCAAGTATGGAAACTATTTACTTATAAATCTGTTGTATTTGGCTTCCAAATACAAAGATTATGTAATTGGTAAGAAATATTATTCTTCTTGATTTGGCGATAATCTTGTCTAATAGTTTCAATCTGTTTTGCAAACAGCAGGCAAACCCAAACATATTCTGGTATTGCTACTCAGTGTTAATGGCTCACACAGAATTAAAATATTTAGGTTTATTGATTACTTAATATAAGCCAGGACCTTTGTATGTATCTCACTAACCTTTACTACAGTTCTGTGGGGTATTACATTCTAATTTTTCAAATGTGGCAAATGAAGCTTATGCAGTAAGATGAGTGAGTTTCTGCATCCACACAGTGAGTCCTATACGTAGCACAATTTTTGTGAGCCACAGACCACCACCAAAGGCCCCTTCACGTAGATACCTGGGACTATCCTGCAGAGAGCTCTCTGAGGATGCACAGGAGAGAGAGCAGAACGACAGAATGTATGTAGGCAGCTACCTCCAGCATTGCCCATTGCTCAGGAAAGCCAAACGGAAGGTAGGATGGTCATTGGAATCAGCTGCTGTGGGAGGCCTCCCCCATCTCTGGAACTGTTTTTCCTCATCTAGTCAAATGACAAAACATCCAAGATTATACCTGGGAAACAAGGCTTGGTTGAAAAATAGCACATTTCTGTTTTCACTTTTGACAAGAAAATTATAGGATGCCTTTATTTATTTATTTTCAAGTATTTGAAACAACTTTTAAGGGCTATTTATAGCATATTCAGGATACAACCCCCAGCAGGATACCTGACCCATAATAGTGCTAATATGTATTTGTTGTATAAATATGGAGAGAATTAATGAGATGACAAGAAGTACCAGAGATTTTCCCTCAGTGTAGCCAGTGCATTTGTGTTTCAAATCGGGAACATATTTCAGTGTATTTTAAGGGAAGCTGTTGAATCTTAACTCTTGGAGAGTTTAAAAATAATCATTTTGTATACTATTACAAATATTAAATGTCTTACTACGATTATGTCACATGATACTTCACTTTCATGTAAATATTTATATAATTATATACTTATACATAAAGGGGGAGAATGAAGATAATTTTGTTGTGGTCTCCTCAATAAGTATCATTCCAAGGTTATACATAATCAAACCCTGGACATTTATTTTTGATACACTCTGTTCTCTTAAAAAAAAAGACATTGTCATTTCCACGATAGTATAGGAGGTGATGGGGACGTTACAACTATTTTTGCTGCTCACACAGGAAACTGAATTCACTGATCATGTGTGTAGTAAGAAAGTAAACCAATGGGCCGGCAAGATGGCCACTGAATATCTCTAGTGCCGGTATTATTGGTATTCAATACTTGCTTTCACACTGGTGGCTAAGAACATTGGCTGCTCTTGCAGAGGACTTGAGTCCAGTTCCCAGCACCCACGTGACAGCTCCCGATCATCTGTAACTCCAGTTTCAGATGCTCCAATGCCTTCCTCTGGCCTCTGTGCGCACCATAAGCATGTGGTGCAGGACATATATGTAGGCAAAAGACCCACACACATGAAATAAAAATAAATGAATCTTTAGAAAATAAGAAAAAACAAAAAGGAGTCAAGCTCTTTCTTTCACTTCAGCCAACTGTTGTCAACAACAGTGAATTATCTCTAGTGCCAGCCGGTATTATCTGTATTCACTACTTATTTTCATATCCATAAGGCTAAAGTCTTAACTTTCTACTTTTTTGCAGTATCATTTAGTACTTCAGATAACACATAGAAAAAGTACTGAGGTTTTATCTGACACAAGTCTTTCAAAGATGTAAATTTTACTAAGTTTCAAAAAACAGGTGCTGAAATGAACAAAAGGGATGGGGATGGGGGGCTATACCTAGAGTTTAGGGATGCACACAACTGTGGAGTGCTTGCCAGGCCTGTGTATTATCCCCAGAATAGGAAACTAACACTGTGAAAGCAATGATTTCCTTCTGACTGCATCTACAACACACAGTCTACTGCACCAGGCCCTGGCCGTCTCCTGCACACAGAGAATGCTAACTCAGTGCCAGAGAAAGTGGACTTTTGGACATAATAAACTGTTAAAGGGATTTCAGTGTTAATATCTGGGGTTGTTTTAATAACTGGGATGGTTCAGACAGCAGTCACAGTATGACACCTGGCACTGTCATCTTCGCTTTCCTTTAAGGAGAAATGTAGATAGCTGACTAAAATGGCTAGGTATCTTGGGTAGGTTGTCACTGAATGAGTCTTTCACTGGATCTGTGTCTCTGTGTGAGGAAGCCAGTAATCCTCTCGGCTACTACTCAGGGCACCTTACCTGTCACAGGCACTGTGCTGTTACTGGCATAGCGGGAGCAGCAGATTTATGAGAACTCTATAATTGGATCAATAGTGGTTGGATCTATATTTTAAAGCAAACAAGAATCACCGGGCAAATGAAACAAGAACTAAAACTGTTTTCATTAAACCAAATAGCACAGATAGGTTGAATTCTGGCTTTAAAAACTCTTCCCATATTTAAAGTTGATGTGGATTGTTTTCTACCACTATTAAAAAGATCACTTATACTCACATGTGTGTGTGTATGTGCATGTGTTGCATAGTAGCAATATAGGCAGTAACAGTAATATCACAAAACAAAATTATCAGCCAGGTCTGGTAAAACACATCTCAAATGTTGCACCCCTGAGACAGAGGAATGGGGATTGTTGAGTCTATCGTGGGCTGCATAGCATGACCCTGTCTAAAACAACAAGAAAACAGTAACAACACAAGCACACAGCAGGCAGAAAGACTGAAAGAATTAGGAATTGTGAATTATATGGCAAGAGCTCTGACATCCCGTCTCAGAACTGCGGAGTTTTAAGGGCTCCTTTCTATTGATTTGTGCCTATTCCCCGAAGAAAGTTCTAAATTTCAATGATTTACCAGCCCCAGAATATATGCTACTCTCTCTTCACTGATTCTGTAAATGACTTCATTGCAAATGCTATGTCAGTTTCAGGAACATTATTTTAGTGATGGCAATTGTTCTTATTCATACTCTTACCAATGAATTATTCATTACTGGCAGTTAACCAGAACTTCCTTTTTTTACTTGCAGTTTCCGGCTTAATTTCAATGATATGCGGAGGCCAGATTTTAGCATACTGTTTGTTCAAAGACAACTTTATCTATCCAGATCTGGATAATTTTTAACAGTACAACTGGATTCATTTACCTTGGAATCACTATGCTATAAATATTATGTCAGAGCTGTGTCCCAGAATGAATCACTCAGTATACCTTATAACTATAAAAAGCACAGAAGTTAATGGAGAGCAGAATGAACCTAGTAAAAAATTCATGAGCAAAATTTTGCAAAACTTCTAAAATGTGACGTTTCTGAAAAATGTGTTCCATGGAATAACAGTTCTGAAGAATGTTAATGTTGTTGTTAAAGAAAAATGTTCAATATTTAAGAATATTTGTCGTGTCTTGGGGCTGGAGAGATGGCTCAGTACTGAAGAAAATGTTGTGTTCTTGAAGAGGGCCAAGATTCAATTCCCAGCACCCATGTCAAACAGATGACAACTTCCTGGAACTCCAGTTCCAGGGAAGCTGATAGCCTCTTGCAGGCTCTATGGGAACTTGCAAACATATGATGCACTGATAAGGGAAGTCCTTCTGTGTATATGTTGTCTTATTGGTTGATTAAATAAAGCACTGTTGGCCAATAGGGAAACAAGATAGGTGGGACTAGGAATCTACGAGGATTCTGGGAAACAGAGGCACAGTCAGTCAGGATGTAGGACACCAGAGGAGTAAAAGGTCTGAACACTTTTTCCCATAAAAGAAGACCACATGGAAATACTCAGATTAGCAGTTATGGGTTGATAATTAAGTCAGAGTTAGCTGATAAGAAACCAAGCAAACGGCCAACAGCTTCATAATTAATATAGTGTTTTGTGTGTTATTTGGGGGCTGAGACAGCTGTAGAAACCAGGCAGAGGGCGGGAAGACTACACGTTACACTGCACAACACATATTAAGGTACATACACACATATAAATAAAACGATTTCTTAAAAAAGAATTATTTGACTCTCAGACTTCAGCAGAACATATTTGTCTCAGCACGTCATAGTCTTTCACACACTATGTGAACAAGTCAA